TTTCTTAACAAACTCTAGATTCACACATAAAATAACCCGCCCAAGTCTACGAGAAGAGATTTTTTTTCTTCGCCCTCTGAGAATTGTACATCATAGATTTGTAGCACGTTTTTGGGGTGTTGCTGTGATGTAGCCATAAGCACAATTTTTCAAAATGCCACGTTAAGTTACATGTGGCAGGGGTCTCAGAGGGAGCAACTAAACTGTGCAGCCACTTCACATTCACTCGCGGCCGGGCAAGTCTGCAGGTTCTCGGCTGAGGCCTCCGGAGGTCCCTTTGATGAGAATCCCGGAAGCCCGATGGGAAGGTCAGGCCACTGGATACTTCGGAGTTAAGCCCAAGGACTAAGTCCTGCAGGCTACTGAGAGTCAAGCCCCCGCTCCTCACCACAACAATGTGTCCCAGGGGACACTATGCACACCACCAGTGTCTACAAGAGCTTGAGGTGGCCCCCAGGTAACGGTTTTTTAGTTTACAACTATACAGGCAGCGGTGGAAGGTCCGAGGAAAGGCTGACTGACCAATGGGAAAGCATTCTACCCCGGCCAGAACTGGAGGGGTAAAGGCCCGACCCATGAGCGTAGCTGGGAGAGGCGGGCCAGAGGAAGGCTGTTTGCAAGCGCACAGGAAGACGCTCCAGAATTCCTCCTCCTTCTCAGGTGAATTCCCTCCATCTCAGGGGAAGCAGAGGGGTTTGAAAATATGTTTTAGATGCAGTTACGGCTGTTAAGACCAAGTAGAAACGGTCATTTCTTTTATGATCCTATGTTTCTTCTTGTTCTGGTGTCACCCAGGAAAATCTTTGTTATATCCGCCACCCTAATTTATAAATCATTCTGGAATTATTTCTAAACTCTCTTTTCTTTTTCTGTGTGACACCTACTTTTCTGTACCTGTTGGCCAGAAGGGTTCTGATTTCTAATTAACAATAGCTTTTCAACTGTTACCTGCCTGTGAATTCCCAAATCACACTTTCAGAGCAAAGATTAATTAAGTCAATGGGCATTTGTTTCTGAAAAGAGCCTTCAGGGGAAGCCCAAGAGTTCCTTGGAAAAATACTATGGGACATCTCTGGGGGTTGCCGGGGGCGGGGAGGGGGGGGGGGCATGTCCTTGTAGTCACTAGGCCCACCCCAGATGATAATGGAAGCAGCATCCGGCTCATGAACAATGCAGACACTTAAAAAAAACAAACAGGCCACTGGCAGATGCCTCTCCGATAACCTCCTTGACTCCTTAAGTGATGATACCTAAGCTCTTCCCCTCTCCCGGAGCCAGAACTCCGATTCATTTACTCATTCATTCAAGAGCCATCAAAATCTTGAGATGAGTCACATACAGGGTCCCTCCTTCAAGGATAACCAGCCAGAGGGGGAGAGAAACAAGTGAACATGTGATTACAACACCCTGTGCTAAGAATTAAGGCAGAGCTATATACGAGGTATGACGGGAAAGCAGAAAGAGGGCTCCCATCATGCCCTCTGTGCCTGGCGTAAAGGGGCCAAAGACTCAGGGGCTGGGAAGGGGGCTGAAGGAAGCATGGAGCTCATGAGAGCTCTTTGGTGATCTAGTAGTTTGTGAAGTGGCATGAAGGACCGAATGTTTTTGTGTCTCGAAATTCATCTGTCGAAATCCTAACACCCAATGCGATGGCATTAGGAAGTGAGGCCTTTGGGAGGTGATTAAGTCATGAGCGTGGAGCCCTCATGAATGGCATTAGTGCCCTTATAACTGAGACCCAGAGAGCTCCCTCACGCCTTCCACCACGTGAGGACACAGCAAGACAGTGGCCATCTACGAACCAGGAAGCAGGCCCCCCCCAGAAATGGAATCTGTCTGGGCCTTAATCTTGGCCTCGCCAGCCTCCCGAACTGGGAGAAATACATGTTGGCTGTTTAAGTCACCCAGCCTATGGCATTATGTTATCGCATCTCAAACTGACTAAGACATGTGGCTTGGCAGAATAGCCAAGTCACCACTTGGCAATATCGTTTCTGTAGGAAAAATTGATTATAAGTTCCAAATTGCCTGCCTCGGAAATGAACTGAGGAACATGATCCATTTGTAAAGTGCTTTCCTCTTTAAGTAAGCATAGGTGTTTTCTAGTGTGACACTGAGACATAGTATGAAAGCCATGGCCTGAGCCTTACCCTTTCAGCATTTACCAGGGTTCCCTCTATTTGAACAAACAAACTCTCAAAACAAAAAAAGCCTTGGAAAAAAAAATAAGAAACTTCCCAATAGTATTGTAATGTCTCTGCTAAGACTATTGCCTACTGTGCGCTCAAACTAAAATAGTAAAGTATAACTATGTTTTCCATCTTCCCTGAGGCACTCATCACCTTCTTCCTTTTAAACATTAAATCAGTCGGGAAAAAAGTGGTAAAGTATTAACTTGCCAACATAAAGATAAGAACAAAATTACTAATTCTTGCTTTCACCAGTTATATATTAGGCAAGTGATTGAATTCCCTGTGTCTCAGTTTCCTCAGCTATGAAAGGGAATAATAATAGTCTTAATTCATAGTTTTTTTAATGGAGGATCAAAAAAAAAAACTAAAACATATAACGTACTTAGAAGAATGCTAGGTAAATAAGAACTATTCGAGAAAGATAAGACTGTCATCATCGTCATCATCACCATCATCGCCATCGTCATCGTCATCGTCATCGTCACCATCATGGTCATCAGTTGGCGAGAAGAAAGGCCAACAGCGTAATTATTACATTTTATTTGCGGTGACAGCTTAGGTTGGTCATTGTGGCCCAGGCTGCGACAGCTGGACACGGGCCGCAGCCCACGCTTACCTTCACCACCTCATTGTGCCCGCCCTGCACGGCGAGGTGCAGGGGCGCCATCATGCTGCTGTTTTGGAGGTTCGGGTTGGCTCCTTTGCTAAGAAGAAACTTCACGCTTTCAGCCTGGTTTTTTACGGCAGCCCAGTGCAGAGGAGAATTTCCATAATTGTCCGTTACATTCAGCACTAGAAAAAGAGACCAAAACATGAGTTAGAGTTTGCTTGGATTAGATCGAACACCTACTGCATTCCTATTCCCTTCAAAGCTCAGGGCCAAGCGCTACTGTGACAGGCTTCACCTTCCTTATGAAAAATGAAAATACCGTTTTGATTCTCAAGAAACATCGAATGAACACCTGCAGGGGATGCACAGAATTACAACACTGACTTTGTCAAATGAGTTAAATGCCCACCTACAGTATCGATAAGAAAGAGATCCTCTTATTGCTACATGTTTTCATCCGTGGCATGAGTTCGGGGATCGTTATGACATATTGAGCTTAATAAAAGCAATAATTATATGCCAGGCACTCTACTAGGTTCTATTTAACCATTATTTCTTTCAACCCTCCAGCAGCCCACAAGGAACCAGGACTGTTTTTCAGAAAGATGAAGACACTGAGGCCTCAAGAGTTTCAAACTCATGCCATCACAGCTAGTAAGGAGAGTTCGGCGAGTTGCCTCACCTCTTTGAACCTTGGTTTTCTCATATTTGAATGTGGTAAAAAAAAAAAAAAAAAGGCGGAGGGGGGAGGAGGAAAGAAGGAAGGAAGGAAGCAAGGAAGGAAGGAAGGAAGGAAAAATGTATCTACTTGCAATGTTGTTAGGAGGTATATCAAATCATGTCTTCAAAGATCCTAGCAGAGTGCTCGGCCCTTACCAATGCTTTAAAAAATGTTAACGAGAAAAAAGACACACCACTAATAAACCACAAGATCAAACAAGAGCCCGAGACCCTGATTTCACTCATGGCTTCCGTCTATTTCTGCAGTTCGATGTATTGTACTCTTTACCTCTGAACTCATCATAACCTTATGCTGTGTCATACTGCAGTATCTTATATCTATTCTAAAATAGACATGACTGATTGCTTTATCAACCACTTTAATTAGTGGCAGTATATTTTTATGTCTCTGGAGAGGGAAAAGTACACACTCATAAAAATGATTTGGGGACCATCTGTAGTACCTGGAACCATGGCGCAGCCAGGTCTATCCTTTTTAAAACTTATCTCTGCATTATTTTCTTTCTTTCATTCAAATGCCTCATTCCCAACCACACGTCCCTCCCCTCTCCGTCCCCTCCCCGGACCCTTGACCATTCTGTCTGATCAAGACAAAGTACTTTATTTGGCACTTTAGTCAGCACCAAAATTTAATTAAACAGGGGCCTAAACTTACAAATAAACTTCCATTCGCTAATTAAATCATTTGAGTTTGGCTTTTATCTCCACCACTTTTCAGAAATCATTTTTACAAATATAAGAGCGTATTGCGATCTTCCTAATCGATCTCTTTGCGGCAACCGATCTTCTACCTCATCTATCCCAATAACATGTCCCTTGTGTGTGGCGTCACTCGCTTACCCATCGTTGCTGGCTTTTCCTGCCATCCGACCCTTAATGTTGGTCTCTTTTTAGTTCCCTTTACCGGCAATTGTATGGTCTCCCGAAGGATTGCCGTTCATTTCTCAGCTGCTTCCTATGCGACAGTGGCACTGTAGGGCGGGCTCCTTTCCTTCCATATTTCTAGTTGTCTGCTGGATATTTCCAGGTGGATGTTCCCTGGGCCTTTCAAATCCAGAATGACCGAAACCAAATTCCTTATCCCCTCACAGCTCGTATTCATATTCCCGTTTTCTTTACGCCTCTTCTCTGGATGGTTACGCCTCGTCACCACCTCACTCCTGACATCTCAGTGGCATCCACCTTTCTTATCTGACTACGGCTGAGTTTCTCAAATGAGGCTATGTGTACGAGGCTGGGGTTGGGGAGTATGCTACATCTTAGAGTGTCAGTTTTGTTCAATGAGAAGCAATTTAAGTGTAGAATGACCTCAATGGAAATAGTACAGAAGGATACATAAACTGTATATGAAATTTTATGACCTACTGGAAAAATTCAAAGAAAACCCGTGCTTGCAACACACACGGTGTTGCACTTGATCTCTGCACTAGCCTTGGCAATATTTCAGTGGAAAAAATTCAGGAACAGTGGCCTGTAGGGAACACCACACTGTGAGTGAGATATTCAGGTCTCTGATAATCCGGAGCTAATCTCTCTTTAGAATAACTTCATACTACTCTCCCCGATGACTCTAATGGGATGATGGACAGGGAGCCGTCATTGTACATTTTGTTACCTTCACAAGGAGAGTCACTGACGATCATCTCCATCAGCTCGACTTGACCTTCTTCTGCAGCGTGATGCAAAGGAGAGGCGTCCACATCATCATATTTGCGCAGCTTCTTTTGTTTCTTCATACAGTGATGTAATTCACTTGCGCCTCCTTCAAAAACCACCTGGAAATATATTTCAAGAGTTACCTCAAATGAGCATAATTGTTCAAGTTATTACCACCCAAAACTATTTATCACGCTTACGGTACGGTAACATTGACAAGTACATTTTAAAAATTATTCGATTTTCTTATTATAAGCTTGTATATGCTGTAGAAATAAAGGCCTTCAGAAAAGTCTTAAAGTAAACGTAAGGGATTCGATCTGAGAAATAATAAGTACAGTGAAAATATAGAGGGCTTCCCCTTGCCAGGTGACAATGTACATAAAATCGGGCATGAGGGAGTTTGGTTATAGAAGAAGATTTTCACAAATGCAAGGATTAGGTCCAGGAAGCCACGCTACTGTCCTCTCTTTGGCTTTCCTGCTACGGTCAGCTCCTACCCAGCATTTCCTTCCGCAGACACCTGAGCTGCAATCATACTGAACACTGTCATGTCACTCACTTGGCCAGTGTCTAGAATGGCTCCCCACTCACATCCCCTGGGGATGCTTATTCCTAACACTGGGGTCCTGCAGCAGGCCAGGTGAGGCCAGGTTCACTTCCTCCCCATCCTGTGCAGGAAGGAAGAGCTGGCATTATTGTGCCCTTACTTAGGGCTAGACATCAGGACACCGAGAGGTTCCATCATTTGCCCAAAGGCACACAGTAAGTGGCAAAGTCAGGACTTGAACAGGAGATGCGTGGAACATAGATTTTGGCTGAATGATGAATACTAAAAGCCAACATACGCTAGAAGCTGAAGCTAGAACCGCCGTCATACAATGAATGATGTGATAGAATAAAATAAAGTTTAAGAACGGACTTTGTAGAGTGGCCCAGTATGTTTTGGCACTGTTGGCTGCTGTCACTGGCCTGTAAATGTATATTTCCAAACAGACGCTCATGTCCACTTATGTCAGGGGAGGAGCAAGAGCTTTTTTGAATGTCTAAATTTTCTCTAACACTTTCTTTTCTTCCTCACGCCCTTTATAGTCTTTATTATGATTGGACTGAAGATGATGTACCATGAATGACATCATATTTCCTCCTAGAAATTTTAAGGTGACAGTGTTGGTATTCTGCTTTTGATTCATTCTCACAAGATATGAATGAATCATATCTTAAAAAGTTCATGACCTAGAGTTAACTTACTAAAAAGTAAATAAATCTTTAAAAATTATTTTATTTTATGTTATTAATGTTACTGTAGCAAACGCAGTTTTACAAAAGCCTTCATGCATAAACTTGCCTCTATGATTCTGCCTGGAATTATTATTTAAATTTTATAAATATTTTGGATCAAAAAGTATACTATGTATTTCCTAAAATTAACTAATGCATTCTTTCTTAATATCTATATTAACTGACAATCTATTTCCTTATTCATTTACTAGTAATAACAAAACAAAACAAAACAAAACAGAAAAACCAGACACAACCTAAGTATCCATGGATGCAGAATTGGTCAAATAAAGCATGATACATTCATATGAGGGAATACTATAAAGCTGCTAAAAAGACTGAGGTACATCTCCAGGTGCTGATTTGAAAAGTATTCTGAAACATCGTTCGTGAGTAAATCAAATTGCAAACCTCTGTGACTTCCCACGTTCGTAAATAAAAAAGCTAGATGCTATGAACGTGTGGATGGGTATAAGGGCCCCACCGCCCACTCCCAGAAAATACATGAGGAACTATTAATATGGTTCCACTGTGAAAAGGGGTTTGTGGTGGGGATTCGGAGAGACACTTGTAAAGCTATATTAATATTTAAAAAGAGACTCTCCTGCTGACTATCTGAGGAACCCCAGTGGAGAGTGTTCTGAGCACCTCCAGCCTCTGCCCATAAGGGTGGCGGTAGCTAATGCTGCTTTGGGGTCAGCTTTCCGGGGAGCTATAAGAAATGGAAGCCCCATCCTCGTCCTTAGGACCGCCGGAGACCACCTACCCATTTTCACAGGGTCTCCGCCTCCGCAGAGGCCCCGGCGCCCCACCCCGGGAGGATTCGCCAGCCCTGCCGGTGCTGTGGCGCTTCCCTTGCAGACGCTGGGTTCTGTTTTACTCCGTGGGACAAGGGCGCCCCTCACCGCCGACGCACCTCGGGAACCCGACTACCAGAGACAGCCATTAACTGTTTGGTTCGGGATAAAATCTACAGAAAGGCCTAGCGACACAGCACATGCTACAAGCGTCCTGATTACAGGCACTTGCCTGATTCTGCCCAATGCCAAGGGTACTTTCGGGGTGGGTCTCCCCAGACGACCGCGGCCATCCACCAGCTAGAAGAGGTCGAACGCAGCCGGCACCGTGGGGGCGCCTTAGGAGCGCGACTCTCAGCCCCCCACATTCCGAGGGACCCCTCGTGCACCGCGCACACCCGCAGCCGTCCGCGCTCATCCCGCCGCGCTCCCCGCGCTCGCGGCCCGGGCATGCCCGCGTCGAAACCTCGGACCAGCGCGGGCGAAGCGAAGAGGAGCCGAGCCCCGCACCCCCGCCCGGCCCTCGCCCGCCCGGCCGCTGGCGCCCCCGGTACCTGGAACGAGTCCCTGGAGTGGTGCACCCCGTCCTCCACGCCCTGGTAGACGACGTCCGCGGGCGCCTTCTCCGCGGGGCGCAGCATCCTCCGCAGGCTGCGCTTCATTGACCCCACTCCGGACGCCACCTGCTTGGCACGGGCACCTGGGGCGACAGAGCGCGGTGAGCCGGCGTCCGAGCCCGGGGCTGCGGAGAGCTCGCCGTGCGTGAGGCCGGGAGGACCTCTGCCAGGACTGCGCGGGCCTCGGCTACTTGTAGCGCAGGAAAGAGGAGGGGCGCAGTGGGCGGCAGGGATGCGGGCTCGCGGCCCCGCGCACCGAGGGGGCCGCCGTGCGGTCTGCACCCGGCTTGGTACAAGGCGCGGTTCGCCTGTCCCTCCCGCCCGCGCCACCCAGTCAAGACGTCAGGTCATGGTGCATCCAGCTCATAGAAACATTAAGAGTCTCCACAGCCCCCCGCCCCGCCCGCCCCACACTCATGGGAAGGGGAGTCGGGGATAAGAGAGAATAACTGGGTACATAGGAAAGATTTTAATTTTTTAGAACTTGTATCTAAAAAACCGCTGCGCCTGGATTTCCCATGCCCATTTCATTTTAGAAACCTCTTTGATTTGGACATAAGGTTTTCAGGAAAACTTCTATTTTCTAACGGAAGGCCCCATTTCCTGTGGCTAACAGGTCCCACAGGTCTCATTTCCTGTAGATAACAATATCAGCCCCCCTCAGGGTTTGATTTTTCACAATGGCTAATAAAATGACTGTTTAGGTTAAACATGGGCCATGTTGCCTGTTTACCGTCCGCTTTGTTTGACAGGCTTATCTTCATGGCCCTGCCCTGCCTTTATTAATGAACAGCAGAGGTGGCAATCGTGCAGCGGAAGGTGTGTCCTTGCCATGGGCGAGGCTAGTTCTACATTTAGGTACAGAGGTTCCACTGCCGCAGGACAGTGGAACCCTTAAAACTGTTGCCACTGTGTTTAGGCCAAAAGGTTAGAAAGCACCAAAGTTCCTTCCAAGGCTGATACACTTTGTGCAGGAGAAAACTTAGCTTTGCCAGTCTTTTATCTGGACAATCTGTGTGCTGCTTTAAGGCCTTGGACTGTCATATTCACCTGGTGATCTACAGCACCTGTCTCCAGCACCTGACACGGCATGGATCCAGACTCTGGCATAGAGCCCGCCCTAAGTAAAGGTAGGTGGACTGCCTGGCTTGGGGGCCACCCTGGGCTGAACTCAAGGGTGGGTAGAGAGGGCATGATGATGTTGAGGAACTGAGAAGGTCCTCCAAAACCTTCCAATGGACATGGCAGGTTGCCATCAATTTTGGAATTCCTTAGAAAAATAATATTGAAGTTATCTCCAATCATCAACTCACGTGGCCTGCGGAAAGATCGGTGAAGGATACAGTGTTCAAGTTTATTACCATCTGCACAGATTTTCCATCAATATCTGTATTCAGGGAGGACAGACCAAGGATCAGCTGCACACCTTCCTATTATTTAGTTGAAGTAGGTAATGCATTTGGCAAAACCAATATAGAATCAGAGGGATGGGGAAAGAGAAAAGCTTTTGAGTCACTGCTGTCTGCTGGCACTTTACATCTGTTAGGTCTTCATTTTAAAAAGGAAATGCCTCTGAGGAATATTAAGAGTTTCTTCTTGTTACCTTCAGTTTACTTTGATCAATTGCTTTTCTCCTAACACTTAGCTAAAAAGGGTCACTAAGGCAAAACAGAGAATAAAGAAGAGTCTGAAGGAGTCATTCTGGAGGCTGGGTAGAGGGCATGCTTTGGTGGGAAGCACCGGGTGGCTGTGTTGGCCTTGAGAGAGGAACGTGGGCTTCCTTTTTAAAGTTACTGCACGTCCTGGTTTTAAAATGTGTAATGTAGACAGGAACGAGATGGTCGTCAGCATTTTATAGTCGAGATCTTATTCCCTTTGAAGTTTCATTATTGATGGAGAGTAGTGGAATGCAATATTTCCACACCAATTTTAATTTAAAAATAGGGATAACATTAGAGAAAATAAACTTTTTAAGAAAATTGCAGAAGGAAATTTTTACTTTTAAATTACTTTTTGATATTACACAGAACTTTAAGAAAATGAAAAAAATAATGAGGATTTTATTTAATTCCAAAAAAACCCTAAATTATCAAAATCATTTTAAGTGATTTTGTTTCTTGCATTTAAAAATTGCATCTATTTGTTCACAAATTAATTACAGAAATTGTTATTTTTTAAAAATACCATTAATCCAAATGTATTATTCGTAACATCTATAACTGGAGGTAAAACTACTTGGTTATGTTACCTTAAGTGCCTTAACTCAATAATATAATGGAAGGGTCCAATAAACCCACTAAGGAACAGAAAATTTGTATTGTGTCTTTTTAAAAATATCGAAAAATTCACCTCGATGTGTGGACAGTGTGATGATTTTTAGTACATTTATACAATTTTACAACTATCTCCACAATCTCAATGGGGAATTTTTATTGTTCACTTGTTCCTTACTCAGTGGTCAGTCACCTCTAATCAAGTGATTTTCTTTTCCTTTGGGAAATTTTTTTCCATTTTATTTAGTATCATCATTTATTCCTACATAGGTTAGGCATCTTTTCATAGTGAGCAATAGAAAAATGCAACTTAAACTGGTTTAACCAAAAGTGGAATCCATCGGCTTACAGAACTAAAAAGACCTGCGGTATGATTAGGTAGCCTAAGACAGGGGTCCCCAACCCCTGGGCTGAGGACTCGTACCTGTCCATGTCCTGTTAGGAAGCGGGCGGCACAGCAGGAGGTGAGCAGCCGGCAAGCAAGCGAGCTAAGCTTCATCTGTATTTGCAGCCGCTCCCCAGCGCTACCCAGCATCACCGCCTCAGCTCCCCCTCGGATCATCAGGCATTAGATACTCTTAGGAGCACTGGTTCCTGGGGCCAAAAAGGTTGGGGACCTCTGGCTTAAGACACAGATTGATCTGGGGCTGCGTTATCAAAGCTATGTCTCTTTTTCCTTCTATTTCTTTTTTTCATCGAGAGAGATATTTCTCTACTTATTCAAAGGCTTCCCGACATCAGCTGTCTGAAATCTTCTGAATTTATGACCATTGATAAGATCACCAAATTTTTTACCAGCTCTACAAAATATCGTACCTCATTGGCTCTAATTGGGTTATAAGTTCAATATCTTAGCCAGTCACCATAGCCAGAAAAACAGTGATCCGATTATCCAGATCTGAGTGCTGCCCTCTGTGAGAGTCAGACTTGGCGCCAACTTTGCCCAGATTGCATGAACTCAGAATAGGGAAAAGGTGGTTTCCATCACTCTGACAGAAATTGGAGCACAGCTGGCAAAAAGAAGGAGGAATTAGTGCTACCTCCACCTGGAAGCACATATATTTATGTATTTTCTTTCTGTTTGCTTTTCTGGGTACATATTAAAATTTCCTAATCCATTTTCCTTCCACCTTAACCTTATTATTATTTTTTTTACTTCTTTTTTCCTTTTATTCTGTATTATGAGAAAATTCTTTGACTTGATCATCCAGATCACTATTTTGTTCTTCAGTTACATCCATCTATCAAGTTTTTTTTTTTTAATTTCATAAAGAAATTTTTATTTCAAAATCTTTGGTTGAGTCTCTGTAAATGTAACATATTCTTACATTTTTCTTTTATTCTGAAGTCCTGATCTGCTTGTCCTATGAACCTCCTTTTCTCTTTATAATAGTTTTAGTTTCCTTCAAATGTTGAAGAATCCTTGTCTGCTCATTTTGGTGTATCCACTCATTTGCCTCTTCTATTTCCCAAAGTCAGTCTCTGGTGATCGTGCAGGAGAGGCCAGATGTGTTTCTGGGAGGGCTGTGCAGTGTGCCTTAGCATCCTTTCTGAGCACAGCAGCTCCTGTCCATGCTGGAACGATGCTCTGTCACGAGGATCCATTGCCCACTCTCTGTTTTAGCCAATGGGCAAACACCTTTGCTGCCTGCTGCTCAGTACAAATCGGGAAGGGGAGAGATGCTTAGTAGCCTCACTCTGATACTGCTCCCCAAGTAATATCACTGTGAGGAACGCTTGCAGACCATCTCTGTATCCCTGTGGTCACTGGCTCCTCCATCATTCTTCCCTTCACAGTATTTTTACCTTATGTTTACCTTAAGTTTTCCTTTGTTTTTATATCTCTGTAGATCTGGTCCTGCCTTCCATATTTCCAGAATTCTTTAACATTTCTAGACTGTTAGTGGCATTGTTTTTGTTTGTTTGTTTGTTTGTTTGTTTTCTCTCCTTGGTTTGAATTTACTCTTTATTACTTTTTTTTTTTTTCCTTTTCCTAGGATTTCAGATGGGAAGGAAGGTAGATTGTAATTTTTTAAAATTCTGCCTGTTTCTGCTGAGTTGCATAGAAAGGAGAAAATTTTAATATAGCATGTCTTGAAATAGTTAAGTTATATTAGAAAAGGACGGGGTCAGGAAGAAGTGAGGAAACTCATGTTCTTAAGATTCTACTACTCGGCCGTGTTGCTAGTTTGGTGACAACTGAGTTTCAGATGAAAAATTCTACTTACTATGGATAAACAGTGAGATAAATTACACACACACACACTACTGCGGACACCAATGAACCGCTGTTTTTCTACCTGGAAAATTAGAGAAACTTGATGTACTTTACTACATAGAAACCTGAAGCAGATTCTGTCCTGTCGACTTTCCACAAGACCAACTGATATACACAGGCTGTCCGAGCCAGCACCATTCCCAGGGCCCTTGGCAACCATGGTCTTGAGAGATTATTAGAACAATTAATAAAATGGAAATCTGATAATGTTATTTAAAATATCAAATATACAAAAGCTAATTAAGTTGGCCCTCTAGGTGAGGAAAACCTTGCTAAGAGTCAATTCTGTCATGGCAGATAGTATTTCAAATTTTAGAATAAAGTAAGGTATATAAATTTTTATTTTATTTGTATTAAGTTCTTACAAACTGACACATATATTTTATTCCTTAACTTAATCATATGACTAAATTAATCTTGATGCTGTTAATTTCTAACTACTTAACCTGAAGCAAGATCCAAAATTTTGATAGAATTAACTTTACATTGTGAAT